TGTGAAATTGTTTCATTTCAGTAAAGAAATTATTTAAAAATTTTAAATTTGGGAAACTCTTAAGTAAAATTAAGTACAAAAAAGTTATGGTTTTTACAAATAAAAATAATTAAAAAAATTAATAAAAATAATTTTACTAAATATTTTTTATTTTGTAAAAAATATAAAATACATATACGTCTAAATAAATATAAATACACATGCCAATCACTTTTTATATTATTAGCGTTGGTAATACTGGAAATTTTTGACCATCTTATTTAGAATATTATGGGCTTTGAGCGCAATTTATGTCGCTTCCAGTGATCTAAAAGCTTATATCTCACCAAATAAAAACAAAGAATAAATATTTTTGTTACGATTTCCAATGTGAATTATTAGGACAATATTGCATTGATAAAGCTACTACAACTTTCGGAATGAAATCCTATCCTTTTTAAAGACGAAATTCGAAGTGCTTCAAAATAAATGATCGTCCGTTTTTCCAAAAAAAGTTGTCATGACAGATCAATGCACTCGAAGCAACATAGAACAGTCAATTGTTATAAGTACCACGTATTTCCAAGAACTGTTGAAAGTTCTGAAGGAAACTAATGGCATTTTTGATTGGTAAATCTAAATTCAATCTAGTGTTATACATTTCAGTAGAGATTTGCCAATCGACTATAAAAATTGCACTTAAAATGAGTGTCAATTGAAAAAGTTACCCTAGATAAAACTCTATCACTGCAATGCCCGATATAGCACATAGTCTCAAAGAAGTGAGTTTTTAAGCATTCAAAGCGTCACACTAATGGGTGGTTTGCTATAAATAAATGCTTTCCAATACAATTTTTGTCTGCTTTGCCATGCAATCTATTTACCAGAACTCTACACAAAATAATTAAAACGAATATCATCTTTGTAATTAGTGAAATATCTACACAGCTTCTTTCTGTTTTTTAATCTCAAATAACTAATCAAAGAAATGTCGTCAAATTTTTATTGAGTTTTTGCGATCTTCTGTTAACACTCTCCACTCTTCACTTCATAAGCATCTCTTTTTTAATTTTTGTTGACCTCTGGTGACCTTTTATACTGTCTCTCCACTGGAGAAATATTATAAAGACTGTAACGTCCAGTGTTGAATATATATATCATCAAAAAATAATTAACAATTTATACACATTATCCCGAATCCTCTTATTCGTCTAAGAGAATTGGGGATAATGTATATACTAGTACATAGCTAGCATATAAATATATGTGCAATGTTTTTTTAGAGAATTTTAATGTTATTCCACTAGCTTTGTTCTCGAATCAACATTATATTTATTTATAAATTTTCTGTCTTATTATATTCTTATTTTTATATACTTTTTTTTTGTTTTGTTTTTTCTAATTTTCATTCATAGTCGTGCATTCCTTTGTCTCTAAATCATTGCATCATTTCAAGTGTCCAACATTTTAATTAAGGCAGGGAACAATCTTATTAAGCTTATTAAGCTACCAAATATACAAGAATTTTACACTTTTTCTCCAACAGCTGCGGCAGCTTGAACAGCTCGAACAGCTCCAACAGCTCGAGCAGCTCCGGCAACTCCGGCAGCTCAAAGACTTGTTCAGCGCTGTCACTTTATGCCAGTCTGACATTTCAGCTGTCATGCAAAAAATGTTCCCACTTCTTCTTGTCTTTTGTTTCTCAATTTAATGAGTTTCTGCTTATTGCTGCCTGTACTTTTTATGAGGTATCCGAGGTTGTCGGCTGCTGGTGGCTGGTTGTTGGCTGATGTGATTATAATGTAAATCCAGCTTTATGCAGAAATTACTCGCTACGGATACGCATTCCGACATGCTAAAATACAAGTCACAAATGTATGTAAATATCACCCACACAAAAAATTCTAACTCAGAAGATAGATTTATTCATCAAATGAAATGCTTATTTCAGCTTTCATTTTTTTGTTATTTATATTTTTTATTCCATATGTTTGTTAAGAAAAATTTTGAAGTAGGTATATAATGTATTTTGCTAATATAATAAATAAAAATATATTAAAAACAAAAGTCTAAAATGCTCCACTTGAAGCAAAGTGTCTATACGACTATCTGCATAACTTGGTCCTTAACAAGGAAGTTAATGGCCACTTCCTTAAATTGTTATTAACCTTCGGTAAGTTTTCAATAAATAAGTATTTTATTTCACCATTATAACATTGACATAGATAGATTCAGATACTTTGCTCATCTCTTCCTCTGGCACCAGCACACTTGATATATTTGATGAAAATAAATGTTATTTCAGATACTACTGTCTTGTTCTTTTGGATTTTGAATTCAGTTTGATGAAGTTACATATTCTAGTATCTCCTCTTGTATTACTAATGAACACTATTAGAAGAAATTCCAGAAGTGTACAACCAGCCTTACTCAATACCCCACAAGAATCGATATTATTCCAGATACTGCTAACGAGTTCCTATGGATCTAGTTTGAAGGATTCAGATACTCTGACAAGTCTTTCTCTAGCACCAGCGAAGGTGATCTAGTCCATGAGAGCTGATGTTGTTTTAAATACGGCGGTCATGTTCTTTTGGATTTTGAATTTGGTTTGATTGAAATAAATATTCTAGTATCTCCTCTTCAATTACCAGCGAACACTATCTGCAAAAATTTGTGACTACCCACTAAAATCGATATTATTTCATATGCCAATAACTTGTTCCTATGCATTTAATTAAATGGATTTAAATATCTTGCATCTCTTCCTAACATCAAAGAATACTATCTGCAAAAGTCACAGAACAGTTCATCTAGCTTGACGATATTATTTTAGATACTGGCTCATTCCCCACAAGAACCGATAATATTAAAAGCCCCGCTATCTTGTTTCAACGGATTTAATTTGATATATTTAGATATTCTAATGTACCTTCCCTAAATACCAAAGAACAAGATCTGCAATAATTACGATAGCACAGATCCATCCTATTCCATAAAGACCGATATTTTTTTAAATACCGTAATCTTCTTTCTATGGATTTAGTTTGATGGATTTAGATGTTCTAGTATTTCTTCCTCAGACAAAAGCAAACAGTATCTAAATGAAGTACGACAGGCTTAACCACGCCTGGCTCTATTTTCCACAGAAACGTGAAGTTATTTTATATATTGTTATTTTGTTTTTATGTATTTTGTTTAAATTTAAAGATAATAGCTATAATTATATAGAAATTACTAGTCTTAAACTAATTGCTGAAATAAAATGAAACCAATTTCACTGGATTTATCAGAAAAAGTGATTATAAGTCAGTCTTTAACAGTGATTGGTAAAATAAAGAATTGATAACTGAAGTTCTATTATAAGCACTTTGAGTCTCACCCCCTTTTTTGCGTATCCATTCTCTTTAATGAATTCGCATGATCGGAAATGAATAAAGTTACTTTGAAACACCGAATTAATAGTTCGTGTAAATTCGCACACTTGCCAGGCGTATGGCTTGAGGAAGCCATAGGCCTGTACCTAACCTAACGATATAGCTTTGATAGCTACCTAACTGTGTGCTAGAATGTGAACTTTATTCTTTTGAGCGTCAGTGCCCATAAAGGAGTGTGTTATTAGAATGATTTCATTTCCCCTTAAAATATTGAAGTAGTGTTAGAATTGATAATATTTACATATCCCATTCACTCCTAAGTCCTAAGTTATTTTTGACATATACTAGGAATGTCATTAGAAATACATAAATACTTACAGTAAAGGAATCTGCATTCGACCTTTACTGTAACTTATTTTTTTACTTAATTCAACGTAATAAGCAACTGTACTTTAAGTACTCTTTTGAGCTTTCAAAAAAGTCAAGCTAAGACTATAGATTTATCTATTCACAATTACATTAACATACATAAAAGATGGCGTAGGAATGCATAATAATGCTTTTAAGCATTGTTATCTTAACAAGCAAAGTATCATATTCAAATGTATCTCTTCTTTTTGTAGTTCTATTTAATGTTTTGAGTAAAACCAATACAAACAAACATAATCAAATAACACAAACACAACATAAAGGCTAGCAGTTAAGTTGGCATTAAGTAAAGTAAGGAAATGGAAATTTTTATAGTTGCTTCACTGCCACTGGAATCGTAAATGTCCTTTTAGCAACTGTGAGCAGCAAAGCCGAAGTTAAGTTAAACTCCAAGCCAATGCCAGGTTAAAATAAAAACCAAAAATGCTGAAACTACTGCAACAAATGGCGGCGATAAGCAGCTTATCTTCATTTTGTCATTGTTGCTGTTTTATGCTGCGTTAACGTAACTGCTAACGTTGTCCTCAACTACGTCATCAATGGCAACATTCTAATGGTCCTTAATGTTATGGCTTTTATGGAGAAAAAGCAGTAGCAGCAGCTCAGGAGCACTAACATGGATTATGCAGTGGGTTAAAGTTGCTATAACAACTATAATAGCTAAACTAAAATATTTTTACTCTTTGCAATTAAGTTGAATATGGAAAAATAATATAATACTTATAAATCACGTGAAGGGAAAATAATCATAAAAGATTAAAAATATTAAGAAAACATGGTAATTTATACATATAAAGTTATTAATCTCATAAATGTAAAGTGCTTGTTAGTTGTATTTTAATTACACAAATCCTGTAAATTATTAAGTAAATTAATTGAACCATTAATTGAACTTTTCTCAAAGAAAAACAGAAATCGCCCAATTAAATTGAGTTCATACCATTAACAAAGTAAACCCACTCATTCCGCTCAGAAAAAATAAAAACGTTCTCGCTCACAGCACTAAAAACGTGAACATAATGGAATAAAATAACAAATTCAAAAAAATTGCTAAAGAAAATTGTATTTATACAAACATTTAGAGCTTTAAAAATAATTTTAAATAATAATATTGCTTATATAGTAAATTTATAAAATTTATAAAATTATTTTAAATATGTTCCAAAAAAATCTGCTTTTATTTGACATTAATTTTTTCATTTCTTTTTATTGCAGGCTTTCTCCTTGAAGGAGTTACGCCATCGGCACCACCGGATGTTCCACCAAGGAATCCAACAATGAGTCGCATGAATAATGGTCGTTTAGTCGCTGGTAATCCAAATGATTTGGGCGTTGATTTCGAACCATCGTGTTTGGTACGAACACCATCGGGCAACGTTTACATTCCAGGTGGCAATTTAAGTGAGTACAATTTATTATTTCTTATCTAATACGATTAGTAAATAAGTTTTTTCTATATAGAGGAAACTATTTTCAAAAACTGTTAGAGAAACCCTTACGCTTTGGTCCACTAAAAAGAAATTTCATTTATATAAAAATAATATAAATAGCATCTTTCTCACTCAATCAAAGAACAGGAAATGAAATGTATTAAAATGTGTTTAACAGAATATTGGGTCACTGCTGCATTTATTAGGTCACATTTAAAAAAGAAAATGTTTTAGCTTAAAATTATTGAAATCCTTGAATATTGTTCAAAAGAAATATTCTTTTCTTAAAGCTAATAAATAGAAATAGAATTTTTCGAACTTTAAACTTTTAGTATTTGTTTTTCATTAAATTTGGAAAGTTTCTGTTGAAAATTGCCAAAGCAAAAGAATATTAATTTCGTTAAAATTTTAACTCAATCTCACTTCATCCTTTTTGGTGTACCAAAACAAAACTTGGCTGTTGAGCACAAAAACCTTTCGCATTGAAGTCCACAATGTCAAAATTCCTAACACTCGCACGATAGCGCAATAGACTTGCATGGACTTTCATATTAAATTAAAGTTTACCGCATACCCAAACAGAGAAGAAATAAATGACAAAAAAAAACCAAATCTGCCTTTTCGAAAAAATAAAAATTGGTCCACATGTCCTTTACGAGGACTACCAAAGGCACAAAGCGTACCAAATACACAAAAACATAGCCAAACGAAGTCTAAAAAGCATATGCAGCAGAGGAACACAAAAGACCAGCAACAAGAAAAGGAAGCAAAGCACCAAATGCAAAAATAAAATAGAATCAGCAAACAAATAAACAAGTAAGCAAACAAACAAGCAAACTAAAAGGAAGACAAAAGGGCGAATCTAGTACAAAAACATTCCATCAGCGTTTACGCAAAAATAAACAAAGGACATTTTTAAATACGTGTACGTACACAAATACACCAACACAAGACAACACATGCATACTACACATATACATTCATACATAGAAATAGGTTTTTGCAATTTAAGGAAAAGCTGCCTTTCCATTTGTCTTTTACCTACGAGTATAAGCAAACACGCAGCATACTCACACACACACATATATATGCTTACACACACACATGGCAGGAAACTTAAGCAAGTTTAGAAAAACTTTGGCTTTCAGTTAGTTTGCGTATGTATGCTATATGTAAAAGTATGCATACATCCATCCATAAATACAATAGAACATATTGTTGCTCGATGTGCTATTGTGTGCGTTTATGTCAATTGTTCCATGGAGTTCAGTGCTTCCTTACAGCACTAATGCAGCTCAGAGTGAGATTTGTTGAAAACAAGAACAATGACAAAAAATTGTTTAATTAAGCCAACTTAAGCAAATTGCGATAGTTTCAGCAAAATTGACAGAGAAAAATGTTTATATTGTTTCTGATAAAAACAATTTAACCAACCAAATTTTATATTCTATTTTCCAAGCATTTCAAAGTTTAAAAAATATTTTAACATATTTTCAAAATTTAAATATTTGATGGAAAAATAGATTTTAGTATATTTGACTAATATATGCTCACAGATTGTTTTTGAATAACATCAGCTGAGAGATTACTGCTTTAATTATTACTTTATTATTTACATTTTTCGTAATAATCGAACCTCAGTTAACGATTTTTATTCAATTAAAAACAAGTATTTACACTAGGCAATTAAACTAGCCGACGGTTTACACTATGCAATATACGAGTGAAAGAAGTTTTTGATTTTTGTTGTAGTACACTTTTAATACTTGTTGCTGAACTCTTAATAATATATCAAATAGATAAATAGATAAAACAATAATAATAATTATACTACTTTTAAACGTATAAACTTTTAAAAGCCTCATTTAACATTTAAATTAGATTAATAGTACATTCACACTGTTTCATTTAGGCACCTCATCAATTACATTAATGAGTGAACGTTCACATTATAATGAGATCATTTGTGCAGCTAATAGAATTTTTATAAACTTTCATGTACTTCATTTAAGAATATATCACAGAAAAAAAATTAAAAATATAATTAATATATTATATATTAAATACATAAACTTTTAAAAGCCTCATTTAACAATCAAGTTTCTCACTTTAAGTTATAGGTTAATAGTACATTCACACTGTCTCATTTAGGCACTTTCTCATTTATATTAAAAAGTGAATGTTCATATTATAAAAAGTTCATTTATGCAGCTGATAGAACTTATATAAACTTTTATATACTTCACTTCACACAAAAAAATATATACATTCTATATGCCCATTACATATTCAATTAATAAAAACAAAGATTTTATTAATTACTTATTTCCTCAGTGCCTTTGTTTACAGCTCAGCTGTTGTTTATTTATATTTTACATATAAAACATATAAAATATGTGTCAATATTTCAAATTTTGGTAATTTCCCTTGTGGGAAATTTAGTCTTTAGGATTGCATTCGATATTTTTCACCTTAAATGAGCTGATTTATTGATAATGAACTCTTTTATGTGAAAGATATTTGTGTGATAAATTTTACTGATTATTGGCTATAATGAGCGAATTTGCTAAATAAGACAGTGTAAATGTGCTATAAGTCAACGTTTTATATTAATATTCCTTAACAGAAAAAATAGTTTACTTTTAAACTTATGCAATAGTTTCTTATTAAATGCCAAGGGCACACGTCACATTTTTAAAATATAAATATACTAAATACAACACCGCAATTGACCAAAACTCATAACTTATTTATTTATTTATTAAATTTTTTATTTTTTGTTTTATTTATTTATTTAGTTGTTTATTTATTTATTTATTAGTTTATCTATTTATTTATTATTAATTCATTAATTTATTTTTTTTTTAATCTATTATAAATAAATAAATATTTATTTGTGAGTTAGCACAAAAAATAATTTTAAAGTTAACTAAGAATAAGGACCTGAACTACTAGGTCCTTCGTCCTTTAAAAATTTTTATATTTTTACTTAACAGCAAAAGTTGTAACTAAAAGTAGTTGCCTACTTTCAGGGGCTGATAGCAATACTTACAACTGCGCATAATTGTGCTCTTCTCTATAAAAAATTTATTTCACATTAAATTTCAAAAAATAATTTATTAATAAAAATAAGAAACAGACTTTTATAAATTACACATGTCAGATGAATTAATTGCTAAATTCTGACGAATCCTTTAAGTCAACATGAAACTGCAATGTATGTAAATAATTTTTAATCTTGCAAATTAACCATATAAAAATATAAAAAATGTGTACACATTTAATGGCATATGTTTGCTTAAATATTACATATAATTACATTGCTTAAAACTTGTAAAATGTTCAACTATAGCAACTGTAGCTATCGAAAGGGCTGTAATTTATAATTCCAATTTTGCACTCCATTATAGCGATCGGACACACACAAACCCATTGATACATAAAAAGCATTTTTCACTCATTAAATAACGTTCGAAAGAGAAAAAATGGTAACATATATTCGTAATAATAAATTCGTAACAATAAATTCGTAATAATAAATTTGTATATATAAAAATAAGAGTTGAACGTATATTTTCACATATGGCTTATAATAACTTCAATATAATATTTCTTTACGCGTCAATACACAGCGAAGCGGGTCTATATACTTTTTCCGTTACTGAAAGCGTTTATTTTATATTTTTGTGCGAAAAGTTTTATGCAAATAAAAGCCAAATACTATATGCCTTCCTCTATACCGCCTTCCTAGACCCATTCTCTCATACACACGCGTTGCCATAAAGTTTTTATATTTAAATTTATGCTGTAAAATAAATCTTCAAATAAAAACAACAACAACAAGCACACATTTTTATGCCAATGAACACATTACACATTTGTACGAATAGTTCAGCGCGCATTGGGCGAGCAATTTATAAAAATATGCCAATATATTGTGTGTCCTTTCAAATAAATAAATACACAACATACCTACCCACACACTACGAAAGGAAAAAGAAAATATAATAAAAATTGAAAAACGGAAAGCAATAATAAAACATAATAAAAATATATTAAAATCAAAAAATTTTGTGTAAATTGAGATTTCTGTAGGATATTAAGTGATATTGCGAACAAATGCGGAGTCCTTTTTTTCCTCAGCCATGTTGTGTGCTTCGGGAGCTGCACACAAATGCATAGACTCACAAAGGTGCGCATATGCGTTTACATTGTTTTAAAAACATTTAAACAAATATGCTACCAGATTGCAAAATATTTTTTTCAAAAAAAATTTAAAACTATTGAAAAACTGTATATATTTTTTAAAGTATTTTGTGGGTTTTTTTTCTCACAGGCAGGCTACGGTTTTTTATTACTGAAACCTGTGCAAATATAAGAAACACAAACAATTTGTATTTGTTTTATGTCTGCCACATGCTTTTTTCCAGACGAATTCCGTATAAGGCAAAAAGTTACAATACCACGATCGTTGCCTTTTGTGTTCTGAATCGCTTTAAATGCCACAAAATCCTGAAAATTTTTATTTACATTAGACTTACTTTAATATTGGCTACTGCTTTAAAGTTTGAAGTTTTTTTTTTATTCTAAAGCGAAGCATCCCATATCGATATATAAATATATTACATATATATATATTTTTTAACTAATTGCAAACTATTGCAACGGAAAAAATTTTATGGAATATTGATATTGATTTTCCATCGATATTATCAATGGAAGAAATATGTGAAATAACAAAATAATTAATAAATAATATTATTTTAGCATAGCGAGTCAAATCTCCGTATATATTTCACAGACCATTTAAGAGTTATAGAATATTATGCATTAAAATCTGAATAAAATCCTACTACTACAAAAAGTGTTGCTTTTAGTTTATATTATATTATTATTATATTATTAATTATATTGTATTATATTTAGTTATATTATTAATAAAAAAAAATAATAATTATATTTAAAATCATT